TTCTCAAATTATTTTTCATTTTAAAAGTTTAAGACCAGATTTTTATTTTATTTTTTATTCTTAGTAGTATTTACTTTGAAACTACAAACACCTCAATTATGGAGAGATGGTACACATAAAGTAAATATTTAATGAAGAAAGAGTATATCTTAAGACATTAATATGACTAAAAAAGTCAAAAACAAAACATTCTGGGATTGTTTTTTAATGATGAAGTAAAATATTCTGGGATTGTTATAAGAATTGAACTAAATAGAGAGTATTAAATGTATTTCTATGCACACAGATTGTAATTGATCAAGACCAGTGTTATCAAAGGCGCACTTAAGCCCTGAAGCGAGGTTCAAAATGTGTTGAGCGCTTTGCCTCGCTTAATGTGCGCTTTAGTGTCATCATCAAGGTTCTAAGACATAATTTTCCTTGCCAATGAACCTTTTCCGATGAGACAACACTAAACAATTGATATTCACTTTACCAATGAACCTTAGAGCTTTTTTGCGATTTTTGCTTTTGATAACACCGATCAAGAATATTCTCTATGGTGTACAAATTTCCCAATATGTGGCAAACAAAATTAGCATTAGTTACTACTTGCCTTGTTTAAGCAAAAAAGACAAGCACTATATCGATAGCAACTACATTTATGACATGACAAAGGTGCTTAACTTCCATTTTAAGCAAAAGTTGACTTATCTAATAGACGATACAACTTCAAGTGGTATATGTTTTCTATTATAACATATCTAAAGACTAAAGTTAAGAAAAGTTACAAGCAATTCTCCAGCCAATCACAACATAATCAATGTAATCTCGCAAGTGGTGTCTGAAGGATAAGATGTAAGCATACCTTATCCCTACCTTTGTGTGTGGTAGAGAGGTTGTTCCCGGTAGACCCTTGACACAATGATGAATTACCAAAACAGGCACTCATTGTCAATCACATGATCATATTATGCTGCCAAAATGGAGCAGTAAGGTGATTTACATAGCATGAAACCATGACCGTCTCTAGCTCTGGGAGATACAACTAGCACGAATCCCCCCCCCCCCCCCCCCCCCCCCC